CACAAAATCTCTCTTTCCTCCTTAACTTTCTGCTCAAATAATTCATAAGTCTGGAAGCCGATGTTTAATATTTACACAGCTCAAAATCTGAATATTCACTAGTGTCTTCTAGCTGTTCTACATTCTCTACTGCTATCTACTCCTCCCGCCCCCGTCTTTGTTCTTAAAACGTAACACTGAATGAAGAGCTCAGAGACAGCATAAATGAAATCCTGCCGTTCCTCCCTACCACATAATTTGTTAGGAAATCCTACTTCTAAAATCATCCTCTTTTTTTGGAGGATGAGGCTATTCTCTGGTATGAAAGCAACTGGCACAGAAATGACTTGCGATTGCAAGTGATACACAAAGACATTTTTATGACACTAGGGAATAACCACTGTTACTCTTTTTGGTTCACAGGAGTCTTTATATCTCAAAAGATATCAATAATTCAGTGTGCCTAAATAATTATTGCAATTTTTTTCTTAAAAAGTATGGGTCTTATTTCTTCTAAATGTAGACCAAGTTTTCTTTTTTCACCCATCCCTTGCAGCTTGCTCCATTTGATTAAAATTGATGAATTTGGATAGGATGCTTAGCAATTTAAGTAGGTAAAGCTCAGGGGAGGTGTCTCAGTATGATACTGAGAATAGACAAATAGACAATAATCTCCAGGTATCAGCCAATACAGACTAACCGTACCAGCTATGGAGACGGAAGGGTGGGGCTGGTCACCCCAAGCAGCCTACTTCAAAAACATTTAAGTATCTTTAATGTTCTAATAGGCATCTCTATGCACTTTCTTCCTGAGCATCAAATATGTAAGATGCTAAATACATAATGCTTTTCCCTCCTACCACCAGGCAATCCAGAGAGCAAAAAGCCAGAAAGTAGGCTGCATACTGATAGCATTCGCTGGTGTCTGTCCCCTCAGTATTCCTCCTTCTCTAGCTTGGAATCTCAGGAATGTTTCCCCTCATTTGCTTTCTTGCCAACCAGCTGATGAAGGGTGGGAGCAGGTATCACGAACCACTAGAAGGTTTCTCAGAAACTTTAGGGAAGAATTTGTTTATTCATGTAACACAAGTCAGACACACTATGCCAGGGGCTGGCAATACAGAAATGAATAAAACATGATCCTTGGCCCCTCTCCTCCCTGGAATGTCTATTTTGAGTGAGCTGCTGGGAAGACAGAACTTACTGCAAAGCCAAGAGGGGCCAGTTTCCCACCCCAGCCTGGTACATGGTGAGCATAATCCAAGACTGATGACTAGTTCTTTTACTTACAAATATTTTTACTCATTTTCAAATGCCACACCAATCAATAATAATAATGAATGGATTGTATCTACATTGACAGTTCTTTCAATCTAAGAATGAACTGCCACAGATAAGATTCAGTCATATTTTTCAGGAGAAAGCTATTGAGACCAAAATGCTTTGGTCATCTAATAAGGACAGAATTACTGATAATTCTATTTACTCTAAGCCAAAGAGAAACAAAAGACAATAAATGTAGGATCTTGATTTCCAATCTCTATAATGTGGTTCTTCTCCATGTGTATTTCTGTATCTGCTTACGTCAACGTCAACTGGTCCAACAATGAACATGTCCACCAGCCCAGAGCTAATTCATTGGTTTGGAATTATTACTGACCTAATGTTTTTTACTTCCCCTCTTCATAGGTATCTGGCACTGTTGAGCGAAACCAGTGAAAGATAGGGTAAAAAGAGCAAATAAGAAAACTATCATTTTCCAAATATAGAAGAAAATGATGATAAAGATTCTCAGCCCCCACTGTGAACAGTAACAGAATATATAAAATCCTTCTACATAACCCTTAATGTTCATACTCATCTATACATATAGTATTCACATACCCTGCCAGATATTCTCATCCTTATAAACGCACACCCCTAATATCAATATTTATAAGAACGTATAACAAAATACATGCTGTGCAGATATAAATACCCTGTAAAATTCCACAAAAACATTCAGAGGCCCCAAAGAATAGAGGCATAAACAGATATGAGATTATAGATCTACCTCAGTAGAAAACACTGCAAGTGAATAGAGGCTGCAGTGAAGAAATTGGAGGTAGGGGTTAGGAAGTGAAAAAAATAGAGGAAAGGTGCTCAGGAGAGGACCACAAAATATTTATTAGAATCCTTTAAAAATATCATGTCATCTTCTCCGAGGAATAGAAGAGGTTTGTTCTGGGTGGCACAGATCAACTCAGCTTTCGTGGTTTTCCTTCCTCTTTTTGTATCACTGACCAAATTAAAATCCTGCAGCATTTCACTTTGGTTAACCAGACAGAAAGGAGGGAACAAACAAAATAAAACAAAGCCAACTATTTGGATTGTGTCTAAATACTTTCGAACTTGATATAAACTTATCAAGTACATTAACGGTTGTTTTAGTTGGATGAAAAAGAAAACAAAGAATCAAAATAAATTACTGATAAACATGAAAAGGATAACACTTATAATGTGAAAATAGAATTTTGGCAAAGGATATGTAGACACTAAACTAATATAACTCAAACATCCACCGTCTTCTCCTGTTACATTATGTATTACGCTGGTCGTGCTATTCAGTGGGCACAGACATGCACACGCACACACATGCTGCATTTTCTGGCTAGTGTCCTTTGCCATTTGCTTTTTGCTCTGGCGTAGAGTTTTAGATGTCTTACACACCAAACTCTTTTGAAAGCAAACCATATCCTCTATCTGTGAAGCACAAAATTACACGGTCTTGACACAGAGAAGCAGGAAAGGCATTTAACAGACATTTCTCCTCCAGCTAGATATGAGTATGATCTGCTACAAAACGGTTTATCTGCCCTTTTAATAAAGGTTGATAACATTTTCAACCTGGATTGAAAAATCAGTTAACCAAGGGGAATAAGTTTTGTTTTTTTTTTTAAGAGTAAAGTATTAACTGGTATTTTTTAGACATATTTCCTTGTATCTTACTACTAGAGAGAAAAACCGGTTCACAGGGCATTTTAGGCATTCTGCTTCTCCCTGTGCTTGTCTTGTTGTATGTGTGCTCTGATCGATGATCCGTCTATACATATTCTCTTATTAATAAGACTGGCCAAGTATTCATGTTGAGAGGAACAGACATGCTTTAAAACCAGGATCTAAAACCTACTTGGCCCAAATGCTGTCTGTGTACATCAAAATGTCTCAAATAACCAAAAATTGTAATGTCTCTCATCAACATAAAAAGGGTGATACTATGTTTTGTAAGACTATATCCTATTATGAGTTACCCAGAGACTCCAGATATGTAGCAATCAAATAGCCCTCGGGGGACAGGTTCTTCTATTAAGCAATAAAAGTAAATTTTGTTGTTTTCATTTTTAAGAGGTTATTTAACACTTGGACATTTATAGCACCATCAATTCTGAGGAACTCCACACATTTCAAAGCAAGTGGCTTTTGATTCTATGAATGGCTTCACATCTAATTCAGCATCTTTTAGAATAAGCCATTACTGGCACTGCAAAGTTGTCAACATCCAGAATAACAAATAACTCTGCAAACCCAATGACTTAGGTGAAAAAATAGTATCCACATTTTAAGTAACAAAAAACTGAGGCAATTTAAATGACTTCTTCATGCAACCCAGCGGTTCTAGGATATTTCTCTTCACTGCCACTGCTCAAACCCACCAAAGAATAGCTCCAGACAGTGGAATAACTATACCACACTATAGAATGAACCCAGGAGACCTAGAAAGCCCCACCTCAATTTAAGAACACAATTTACACCCAGAAAAAACTGAAAAGCCTTGTCTATACGCAAAAAGAGAAGTGGCCATTAAGTTTAGCTGCTTACTGAGGAGCACGTACTGGTACGAGGTTAATAAGGATCCCAGCTAAGTGAAGAAAGGGGAAATAAAAGAACACTGATTTCCATGCTCCTTCATCACAGACAAACTACATGAGAGCACACACATGCTACACACACTATAGTGACAGTGACTCAAGATTATCCTGTATGAGGAAAACCAGACCTTTGAAATGATTAGCAAGAGAGAGGCACATTTCTACATGTAATAAAGCACATACAACCATTCCCCCCAATACCCATCTAGAACATTAAGATATCTTATAGAAAAAAAGAGAATAACTTTCAATTGTAGTTGTGACTGGATCTGATTTATACATCAGATCTGATTTATACATCATTACGTATCTTAGTCTATTCATTCAATCCTGACTGGTCGTTACTCTATCAGGATTGTCAGGCAAAGCTGAATCTCCTGGTTGCAAAGTCTTTCAAAGACTTTCTTTCCCTCCCACTTGGGGCCCAACCTCCGGCCCTGTGAGTGCCACAGGAGGGGCTGCAGGAGGAGCAGGGCCAGCTGCTGCTGGGCTGTCCTGCTGTCGCCATCTTGGCCTAGACTAATGGGCTTCCTGGAGAATACTGAGGGAAAGAGCCTCCCTTCTGCCCATCCATAAACAACCTTTTTTACTTATTAACACTTTGCCTGACATGAGATGTGCTACAGGATTGTTCTAAGCACAGAAAGCCACAGATGGAAAAAGCATCTGACTTTTGCATAGGAAAAAAAAAGCAAAATATGGGAAAGCTGGGGGGGCGGGAGGAGCACCAGTTCTGCTCCAGTGTCACTGGGGCTCGGTTCACGGGGTGAACTGCTTCTTTCCCAGCACGCTGGAGGAAGTCTGGCCCCCACGCTACTGGTGTCTCAGTTTACTTGGCCACTCAGTTGTTCCTGGTGCTGATGGCGCCTGTAGTATCTAACTGGCTAAAAACTGCTGCCAGGGAATGGAGGGGTGACAGGAGACAAAAGGGCTGAGACCACAGGATGATAATGACTGTTATGGCAGAGAAACATCAGAAGAGCAACGAAAGGAATAATCTCGTCCAAGACCACAGATACTAAGCCAGTAGTTCCGGGGACTCAGAATTCAATAAACTAGTACTAAATATTTTGGTAAACAAAACAGAAATAACAAATGAACGAACTGTTCAATAGTACAGAACTGTTCTCTTTTCTATTTTAGGGTCGAGGGATTTCTGTTCAGAGTCTACAAATGTTGGTCTGTATAGTCGTGAGAGATTTGAGAAGTCCCCTCCTTCTGAGCATTCTCTGGCGCACGTTTGGTTCAATACTGGCGGTGATTCAGTGTTGACAAAAGTGAAATGGTGGCTGGACCCTCGCCAGATCCCTCCCTCACTACAACATGGTCTCTCTATTCCAGGCAGACCTCAGTTCTTCTTGTCGTCCTTCTGAGGCTGACTTTTTGTGGTCCCTAGGTTGTTCCACACCTCTGTGTACATTAACGTCCCAATGAAGACAAACAAGGTGCCCAGCCAGTGCCACAGAGTGAAAGGGTTCTGGAAGTACAAGATGGAAAAGATGAGGCTCACAAACTTGCGCAGGGTCACGACGAGCGTGACGGTGAGGGAGGCGCATTCTGTGGTGAGGATGAAGACGCCCCGGATGCACACGTACCTGGAGGACTGGAGTTAAGGTAGTTTTCTGTAGACTGTACTTGGGAAATCAGTGGGGGAGCTGATTCTGGCATGGTTCTCAGCTTAAAATTTCATATTCTAAGAAAACATGAGGAACACGAGGGTCTGCTACGGCTTCTCTGAGGCTGTTCTCCTCAGCGGAACACCCTGCAGAGTTCCTGTCCTGCTATTCCATTTATGGATCCTAACCCAAAACTGCCTAAAAACCTCCCATTATTCTTATTCTGGATTCTTCCTACAGTTGCCAATGAAGGTCACCTCTGGGGTAATGACAGAGGTTGACACTCTTGGTAAGGGTGACACCATCCACCTTTATTTTACCTTGTCCCCAGCCCTTCCATTCCTCCAAAAAAGAACTCTGTATAGCAGATTTATGAGGTGACTTCAGAGAAATGAGGTCAATCTCAAACCATTTCAAAATTTCAAAGATGTAATAATTTTTATAATAAAGATCATTCAAAATAGTCATTTTAAAAAAAACTAAGTCTTGATTAATTTGAAATTTTTTTGGAACTATGTGATAATTGGAAATATCCTGGGATATCAAAAAACCCCAGGTAGAAGTCACAGATCATTCGTGTCATATGCTAGTTTTTAATCAACCCAAGGACTCCTGCACTTCTACCCAGAGCGTTTCCTCCTGTGCCCTGTGGCTTCTGATCTACTGCACCACTAACATCTCTTTTGCTCTCTGCAAAGGAGCTCCCTGAATGGGTCTCTTCGTCCTGTTTATTGCAGAATAAATCCAGACAAAAACCAAAATCATGTCACTGTACTCTTAGAAGAAGAAAAAAGTAAACAATGCTATGCCAGAATAACATGGAGAAGACATGCAGATGACAGAGGAGTCCAAAGGATACTGAGTGATGACGTTCATGAGGAGGTAGAACCACATGACGGGCATTGTCAAGCCGACGACTGGAACTTGATATAATTCTGTGATGATTAAGAGAGGATATTGTCATATCATTTTTTGACAGCAAAATTTTTCATCTTTTGAACAAGATTATACAGACTGAATATAATAAGGACAGCAATGTTATCTCCCTTGCAGATAGATTTGGACCATATACCACTACACTTGCCTTGATTCCAGTCTATAGCAGCCATAAGAGTCATTAAATTGGTTTCTTAAAACAAATAACTTGTTTTAATTTTTAAATAAACTCTCTACCATTCATCTGAATAGGACGTCACTTGACAAAGGAAGATTGAAGCATAGAGAAGTTCAAAACAATATAGCCTTAACTGACAATGAACGCAAGAGGAGGAAAGACAAACTAGTAACTAAACACCATTTGGAAATACGTTCAATCTCCTAGTAACCAAATAATTCCAAATTAAATTAGATTGTACTGTTTTATATCTACTAAATCAGCAATTCAAAATTTATAAATAATATCCTAACTGGCAGGTGGTAGTAGAACTGGCAGCCATGCAGTTAGTAGCAGTATAAATTGGTATTATTCTTTTAAAAATAAGTTTCATAATCCTTCTTAAGGGACCATAAAAGTATTATATTCACAAGTATTATGAATATAATATAAAAGTATTATATTCATAAAAGTATTATATTCATAACTATAATTAGGAATTAATCCTAGATTATTCAAAAGAAGAAAAAAGTTCTACATTCATTGCAGTACTGTTCACAAAAGGAAAACCTATGACTCAAAATCTACATGTCTAGTGATAGAGCAATGGCTATGTAAGCAAAGATACTTTAATTAGATGAAGCATTATACATTCTATAAAAACAAAAATCATAGAGATTATATAGTCACATCAAAAAACTCAGAATAAAAGTGAAAAACAAATATAAAATTATATCTACACAAGGATTATAGCTATGTAAAAATGTCTGGAAGAAAACCAGTAAAAATAAAATTAGCAGATGCGTAGGCCGATAGAACTGTGAATGACTGTTTTTCCTTTAAATATATTCTTATGTTAGTTTTATATATTAAGACTTTCACAGTAAATATTTGGGAAGAAATAAGATATCTAAGATCAAAGACAATAAGGACTAGTAATCCTCAAAGGGTCAATTTTTTTGTTAAATGTTTCCAGAGTTTGAATTATTAGCGTAATTTAAGAAATTCTGATAAAGTGATGCTGAGATCTGGTAAGGAAATTACCACTAATTTTCTTTTGCCAAAAAAAGTCATGTATATACATAAAGACTAATTCTTGTAACTGTGTTCTGGACCAGTGGGTGATGCCAATAATCTTGTATTCTACAGTCTTTGATATACTTAGTAAGTATTAAAATGAAAAAGAAGTTAAATGTGATTACTGCTAAATAACTTCAGAGATCCACTGTATCAATTTACTGAGGAAAGACAAATTCAGCGTGACTTAAAATATTTAGATGGATTTTAGCTCTCTTGGAAAATTTAAGGGTCTCAGATATTTAACCTCAAGAAAATCCAGAGAAGGAACATGTATTAATATATTTAACTTGGGGATAATTCTGAGGAAGTTGAAGGCAGATTCTAAAAAAAGTTTTATCATAAATACCCAGCCCTGTGACTTTTAGAAAATACATTCTCATAACCAAATCAATCCCATGGAATTTGATAATATTTTTATTTCAATAGCCTTTTGCTATGTAGATTCTCAGATATCTTAAAAACTATTGTGTTAGTAATCAGGAAATGATCCTCTGAGTAATTCAGAACCTTGCAAACTTCCTTATTGGCTTCATCACATTTTTTTTTTTTTGGCCAAATGGGAAAGGCAACATCACAAATGCAGAGAGCACTCATAACTTCATAACTCATGCTCAGACAGCAAACTAATGTTCACAAAATAACTAATTTTGTAAACTGGCATCCTACAAAATGTGCTTACCATTTAAGACATGTGCAACATAAAGCCTTGATCCTAAAAATGATTATTTATTCCTTGTGTGTTCATTTGTCTGTATATTCTATGTCTATTAGAGAATCAGATCATATAAGTGATTTTATTCATGTTAACTGACAATCTATAGCTAATTTATTAATTGGCCACTTAAAAGAGTAATAGATAATTTACTATAGACACTTGAAACTAATTTTGTTTATTCCTGCTGCCTATCTAACCCGTAACTAGGAGAAAAGCCCTGTCATCATTTAGCTCCCCTCTTGCTCTGCTCCAAGGCAGCTTGGGCCGGATCTGCAAGCAGCTCTACCTTCATGGCAGAAAAGGCTGAACAGCAGCAGAGAGAGCTGGACTGTTGCCCAACTTCACAGAACTCCAATCTCTGCAATGTGTCATTACTATTTGTTTGTACTTGCAAAATATCAAACACTCCATGCTCAAATGCAAACACACAAATTCCAAAGCAAAATAGAAAATTTGAAGATATTCTCTTAATTCATTTGTAAATAATTGAGAAGCACCTGTAAATCTTTTGCTGCTGCAATTACTGATTAATGGCACTGTATTCCTGTGTTGGAATAGGGATAGTTTCAAGAGGGAAAGATGATTTGCATAAGATCACAAAAATAGCCGTGGTCAAGTCAAGAGTAAAACTGAGACTTTGCCTCAGAAACTGTCAGGTAATTCTACCATATAACCACAAACTCACCAGACTTATTGAATAGAACTGCATGGTCATAAATATCAGAAGCCAAGAAGATGAAACCAGGAAGTGGAAGGGCATGCTATGGGAAGAAATAGGTCACATAAATTTAAGTGTGAAAACATTATAGAATAATTAGAGTAGCTTTACAATAAACAAAAGTTGTACAAGTTGTTTGACAAACAATATCTACAAAAGCAAGTTAGACTTAAGTTAAATGCATACAGAGCGTCGGACCACTTGACATTGTATAACATGGTATCAACCCCAAATTGTGTAGTCTGATGGCCATCACAGATAAAGCAAAAAACGGAGCGAGCATCCTTTCCTCAATAAAAGGGAATGGAGATATTTAAACACATAGTCATTCTGCCCAAAAGGATTTACTACATTTTAGTGTTTCTGAGAAAAGTTAAGCAAACATAATGGATTTAAAATTATAAAGAATGCAAAAGCAGATTTCAGGGAGTTTAGGAAACCAGTCGTAAAAAAGATTTGAGGATAACGTGAAGTCAGGGAAAAAGAAACAAAGACAAAAATAAAAACAGGTTGAAGAGGAAGAGGAAACAATAAATAAGCGAAGATTAAGGTGCTTGAAGACAACATGATAATAAACTGATCCTTCAATTACATCAGAAGGATGGCATATTTCACTTGAAATAACATATTACAACTCAGGAATTTTCATCTTCCCCTAGGTTCAAGAAGTTGCTTACATTATAAAACAAAGCCTCCTTGGAATGTTTCCCAAACTGTTTGTATAGAGTCTCTTGGAATATACCCATCCTTGCTGACATCAGAAGAGCAAAAGTCAGTGCTGCAATACCTAAAAAACAAACATTGCTTACAAAATGCCTATGTTTGTTAATTTCCAGATGTTTTTTTAAAGAACATTTATTGATTGCTTAAAGTTCTACAAATACTACAAACTAAATGTAGAATGTGTAAAAAATTTTCAAAAGAAATAAAAATCAATCACGATTTTACCATCCAATCTTTTATAGTTTTCTATGTCTCTCTAGATTCATTTGTGTAAGTATTTTTTATATTATGACAGGAGCAGATTGTATATAAAATTTTATATCTTGCTTTTTTCATCATCTTATTCCTAGACTTTTCCTTCAAATCATTCATTAAAATGTTTTCAAAAGTATGATACAATGATTGCATATTACTCTATCATGAGGATGTACCATGCTTAAGTATCTTATATAATAATACGAGAATGGTTAGGTTATTTTTATTTCCAATCATTTCTTCATTAAAATCAATGTATATCCTTGTACACAAATCATTAAACAAATGTTGATTATTTCCTTAGGATAAATTCTCATAAGTGGAATTACTGAGTCAAAGGCTGTGGGTATTTTAAAAATTCAATACACAATATTTTTCCAGAAAGGCTGTGTCAAATTACGCCCCAAACAGTTTACATAAAAATAGTTGTCTTCTGCACCCTCAGCAGCAATGAGAATAGCCATTTATCATCTTGCCAATATGATAGGCCAAAAATAAAAAGACATTGCATTTTGGTTTCAATTTGCATTTCTTTGATTACTAGACTAGTGAGGCTGAACACAAAATTATTGGACATTAATTTTTCCCCATGAATTGTATGTTCATATCCTTTGCAAATTTTTCTCTTTGAGTAAGGTATTTTTCTAATAGCTCATAATGATCTTTCTATGTTAAGAACAACCTAAAGGGATAAAGTTTCAAAACCAAGAAGCAAGGAAAACACAGTTCTTTTATTGTTATTTCTCTTCTACCTGGTCAGTCTCAATCTGTTATTGTTATCACTGAAAGCACCTGAAAAGAGTTTCACCTCCGTATCAAAAAATGTGCGAACAAATTTGTATAGGGGTTGCCTAATTAATTCCACAAAGAGATATTTATATTTTAAAAAATTCCCCAGAAGATTCTGATAATCAGTCAGGTTCGGGAACATTGCCACCTGGAACAGCTAACCTAGAGGAAAATAAATCTAAGGTTTAGAAATGGGTCCTTTGGAAATTTAAAGAATCAGTCTCTCTAATGTGTCCATCTTTTGTAGGAGCTTCAACTCAGCAGACAGATCGTGAAGAGATGGTGACACTCCAAGCACTGCTCTCAAAGAGTGTGATGGGAAAGGAGACATATACTTTTCTTTCTATACCAGTGGCAACCAAGAAAAACATGGATCCATGTTGCAGAACACACTGCTATGAACATGGACATTTTCTTTTTTTCATTTCTTGTGCAATAAGGTTCAGTGATACATGATCCCAGGTGCCTCTCTCTTCTATGGTATAATTTGTTTAGCCGAAGCTTCTTGCCAAGAAACATGTCTCTTAGGAGAAAATTCAGCAAACACAACTGCAAAGGCAATTAGCTTTATTATAATTACTGTACTTGCCTAGTAACCACCACACAAATGCCTGGAATCCATCATTCTCACTCAGGTTGGACTGGGAAGTCTAGGAAATAAGAAAATATACTAGGTACAGAGACCAGAGCTACATGCAAGGTGCCGAGATACGAGGGAAATATTTATGTTACCCGTTTTCCTCCTCTCTTCGCTTTCGAAATCCTTGTGTTACAAAAGGATCTGAATTTATTTAATTATTAATACATGCCTGATAACTGAGCCCCAATGGCAAGTAGTGAATATAAATGATTTGTGAGCTGATTCTTACCACCTGCTTTGCTGACATGAAAGTGCAAATAAATATCCCCACAGACACCAGAGCAATGGAGGTATATTTGAATATACTGTATCTGCAAAAATAAGAACAAAAACACCTTAGGAAAGCACAGATACGAATTTCCAAGGATAATTACGATCAGATGGTGCATGAAAGTACAAATCACTATGACTGAGAGGATCACTTTCCAGCAGAGTCCATGTAAGTGTGTAAACAAAGGAATCGGGATACCGACTGGTTTCTAAACAACACTCTCCTTGGTGTTGTTTAAAATAATTTGTTTCTAATAGTTTGTTGACCAATAGATTATTTCATCAGAAAACAAAAACAGAAACAGACACAGACCAGACATAATGTTCCATTCTGTTCTCAAGAGTCCAAATGAAAGCCTGACCTACACTTAACTGGGATCTCTTGCTTTTCCCGTCTTTAAGGAGCCCAAACCTGAGTCATGAGACACACACCATGCAAGAGGAAGAACAGACAATCAAGTACAAATAGCAAGATTCCATATTCAGAAAATAATCCAATCATCCATCCTCTGGGGAGGGTATTTTTTTAAAAAAAATCTCTGAATGACTTAGTGTTGTTTTTAAATGTTGGCATAGTTGGATAAAGGGTGGAATATTCAATTTATCGAACTATGGGCAGTAAGAACAGTGGCATTTCACATTAACTAAAATAGCCTCATTAGCATCCCTCTCAGATTCTTGGTGATTAAGCAAAAGGCCTCAGGCGAGAATTAAAAGAAATTCAACTTAGAAGATGAACCATCCGAAGTATTTTAGTTACATACATTGTATCGTTCTGGTCATAGTACCTAATAAAAGGCCAACAAAACTGGATAAGCAGCAGAGAAAGGGACGAAAAGGGCCAAGAGGACCATGTAGAGGAGAGGGGTGGCCGGAAGAAGCAGGCGTTACTGGAGATAGATGTAAAAAATAATGCAATTCTTCAGTCTGGAGAGATCATGATGCAGAGGCTTATAGCTCAGGCCCCGAAAATAATGAAAGGCCTGGTTGTGGTGAATATAGATGTGGTCTTCACATCCTGGAAGGAGCAGCACACTATGAACTTGGGGGCCTTCTACCCAAGATAAATACAAGGAGATACTAATTTACTAATTCACTATGTTGGATAGTTAACTTATGGAAATGCCTGCTCTACGGGTGGTACACATAGAAAAAAAGAGTCAAAAAGCCTTAGCTAGATTCAAGATGACAGACTCAAAACAAGTTCTTAAGGGAAACAGATGTTTGAGAAAGACCCCTGATATTTTTGGGCAATATCAGGAGAATATAATTTCTTTTATAATATGTTCTGTATCTCTGTTATGGGCCAAAATCAAAGGTTGGGAAGGACTACAGGCCTGTCCCAAGGTGAATTCTATGCTACCAAGAAGCACAATGGTCACTCCAAATGTAGTAAACCTGACCACATACATGTATGCTAAATGCAGAGAACCTGGAAGAAGGAGCAACTGCAGTGGAATTTAACAGGGAATACATACATAAGCCTCAGGAGATAATACATCCATGACAAGGAACCCAGTAAGACAGGGTAATTGTCCTTTTTATGACACAGCCCTTATTACTTAAAAACTCTAGGTTCCTACATTCTGAATTGCTGGGGTTGCATACTGAATACATTGCCATCAACTTGTACAATTTTGGTCTTAACAGTGAGAGTGAACTTGCCCTGAGAAATTTTCTAGAGTGTACATGCTGTCCCTCCCCAGTGTCCCTCCTCCTTGGAAGTGAGGGGTGAGGCTCAGAAAGAAGGTGGGAAAAAAGTACTTTGAGAAAGCATCCCAGAGAGAGCTACCCCAGAGAGAGCTACTGGTGACAGTCACAAAGAACAGTCCTGAATCTTTTCATTCCATCTTCTTGGCTATTTAGGCCTTTGTTAGGAATTTGCTTTTAAATACGAACGATTACTCCTTAGTTCATTACACTGTACTGATAAGCACCTTCTAGGATAGCACCATCCCACAGAATTTCTGCGATAGCGGAAATGTTCCATATCTGGGTTCTCCAGTATGGTCACAACCAGCCACATGTGGCTACTGAGCATTTAAAATGTCACTGGTGAGATATCAGTGAGACACTAGTGAGACTGAGAAACTAAATATTTAATTTTATTTAATTTTGAATAATTGAACTGTAAATGTAAATGATCACATGGCTAGTGATGCCCATACTGCATAGTGAATGAAGTTCTATATCAATTGGCTTCACAGGTTAGTACGGTACTAAAATTCAATGATGACAAGAGCTAACAGTTCTACACTGAGAAAAGGCTGCTCCAAACCCACAGGTGGGGCCTTTTACCTGGGCAACTGCTTTAGGAAATTGCATCCTTGTGTACCACTGTGAAAGGAAGAACTAAGAAAAAAAGGCACCCAGCTGAGAACTAACTTATCAGCACTGTGGGAAACGAAATCCAGATGACTAGCTTATGGATGGTGGCTCAGGATATCATTCTGTACATGAAATATAAAAGTGTACCATTTACCTTTTCTTCAAAATGATAATTCCTAGAACCATGTTGGCAATTAGAGAGCCCTGTAAAAGAAGACAAAAGTACTAGAGTTTTAGTGCACTAGGGGAAGAAAACAACATAATTCAAGATGAATATAAACACAGACAATGGTGAAAAACATGGAATGAAGAAGGCTAGGATGAATAATTAATGAGGTTCAGTTGTTCTTACCATGGCAAAAAGTATAGACCATAAAAATATATCATGTAAAATAATAAAACCTTTTAAAGATGACAACGAGAATAAAATGATCAACTCTCAATAATTTGTCATAGTGGAAGGTAGGGTTAGCAGGAATAAATGATATTATAGATTTATTTTGTCAAATGTTCGATCTATCTAATTTATATGAGCTTTTACTAATCATCTCTCCACGCCTAATTTTAATGAAAGAAGTCATGCAAGGAAGGATCTCTCTCTGCTCTGGAAAGGTATCACTCGATCAACAAGTGTTTATTGAAAGTCTACCATGTGTTTAATGCTTTGAAGGTCACCTTAATAATTAAAATTAGCTCTGGAAAGTCCCTTCAGGAATAGCACATTCAATTTCAATTTCACAAAAATCTCAAGCCACTCGGAATGTTATCCTTCCAGTTATCACCCATTTTGCATTCTTCTGCAATCCTAACTACATTCCCCTTGAAGATTTTCCTGCTTTTCAGGAAACACTATTCTTGTTTATATACACACAGATCTCTCACCATACATTAGTCAAAGAAGAAAACCTGTACTGCTTTGGGAGAAACTCTACCTTCCTTAGGAATTTCCCTTTATGACCTCAAGTTTCTCCTTCAAAAAAAATCAGAAAAGAGAAGAACCTGTTTCATGTAGTAGAAGTAAATGTAATTTTATGGAAAAAAGAAGTGGTAAGAAATAAGTTAAGTAACATTAATAGCGAAATTGAATATAAAATGAACCAGATGGAGAAAATTAAAGGTAAAATCTGTTTCCCACGGAAATTTTGATTTTATTATTACTTATCCATTAGGCATCAGATAAATAAAGGTAAACCATCCACTTTCAGATTTCTCTCTTTTTGCCTTAATTCTTAGATGAAAGCCAACCTTGCTCACTCATTCACAAAACTATTCTTATCCCCTAGACTTTACTTATTACAAGACCTTTCTACTTTTGCCATATGTTCAATCTACCTACTTAATTATATTTTTCAGAAGAACATACACATGTGAGCTGGCAACACTTACAGATCTAAATATCATATGCAGAGGCATGGCAATGTTGAGATTCAGGGCATAGTTGTTCACCACGCTGACAGTGAAGAACATGGTTACCATTACAACATAGTACCTGAAATGCAGAGAGAGCAGCACATCACATAGAATCTACTATTTCAAGAAAATGAAATATAGAAAGAAATATATATTTCTGGTTAAAAAAGTATTTTTATTTCCTCTGCATTAAAAATTGTATCACTCTTATCATGTGAAGTCAAATATTAAGTACATATAAAAATACTTCACAAAGCCAGACCTAACATGTAGAAAAGTTTGAATTACAGAATATGTTTAAAAAAACATTATTTTAATATTTTCCAAGTTTACACAGCAACTTAAAACTAAGTTGTAAAAATGTTACCTAATGGACATCAGTAGATTTTTTAAGTGGATGATTTTTTATTATTGCATCAGTTCTTCGTACATAATTTTCATTTACATCTAAGAACTTGAAATGGGTTAATTATCTCAAATATTTCTTCTCTATACTTGCTTATCCTATTACTTTTCACTATTTCTAAAGCAAAGCTCTGCTAAGTCTAGGGTTACTTTCAGCCTAGCAACTGTTGAAATTATCCCATATTCCAAATCGGTGGCCTGTGAATTAATGAGGACATGATTCGACTTACATAGATTTTTCTTTAAAATCAGGGTACCTGCTTTTTCAGAGTTTATAGCTCTTAAAATAAAAACAAAAACTAAAAAAAAAAAAAAATCCAGTAACCCTAATAATTTAGAAAGATAAAGGAATAAATACAAATGAATAATTATAAACAGATAAACAAATTAAACAAACAATTTTATAGTTGTACATCCCCGTTGTGATCTAGAAAATACATAAGATGCCTTTCATACATGTTAGGTTAAACCATATAAAAGTGCCGTGCTGTTTATAGGTCAAAAAAGGTTGAATATCAGCAATTTCATATAATTCAACTTAATATACCCAGTAAGAGAAAAAATAGTATTTAAAATAAATGGTTAATGAATGCAGGGCAAAAGCAAATAAGTGGTTCCATGTGCTTCAGGAAATGCTGATCTTTGAGGAGATTCCCAACCATTTTCTACCTCTGCACATCTGAAGAATATGACACTGCTGAGTCCCAAGCTGTCTTCTCTGACAAGAACCGATTCTGTGTTGCTGGGTAGATTTGGAGCTATGGAATACGACAGGCAGCCAAGCCACATCTACATTAACACACTTTGGAAAGTTTGAGAAGGCTGACAACGAATGCAGAACTCAGTATTTCATACATGCAAAATTACTACCAACAGCTTCTTGACAGCTTCTATATAATATACTATTGGTGACTTCACAAAGTTTCTTGCCAAATTTTCTCAGTCCTGTCTTGAAGAGGTGCCATTTGGAGATAAAGAGAGTTAGTTTGTCAAGGTCTTTCAGGATAATTAATTCAATTATTCCACATTGCTCAATAGCACTGCCTAGAAATCACTTATGGGGATGAATGACATGAGCAAGATTCTGATTATAGCTTCGCATACGGAAAATAAAAATAGACACCACACACAGGACACACATGGGAGTATGGCTGTTAGGGCAAGATCTCGGGGAGCTCAAAGCACATGTTGGGGAGTTTGGACTTTATTCTAAACATTGTGGTCACTGCTAGAGGAGGGTGACATGATAAAATGGCAGAAGATGAAATGGATGGATGACGAGGTGGGAGGCAGGGAGGCCAGCCAGCTAGGACACTATCATAAAAGTTAGGCTGACAGGGGCAGAGGGCATGGGCAGAGAGAATGGGAGGATGCAGGGAAAGGCCAGAGGGGTCAAAAATGCTGGGCTGCTACTGTGATGTAAATGTGATGGTCTACAGGAGCAGAAAGTTTATGCAGACTGTAAAGCCAATGAAAAGCAAACAACAAAATATTTCGGATATTTAGCATCTCATTGGGAAACTTAAAAGTACAATATTAATAAGAAAATTCAGCCAGATTTTCTACAGTAGGCTATTCATTCTTTTGCAGGAATGCTGCAAAAGAACACCAACAAGGATGAACCTGAACTTTAGTACTTGGATATATTCACACCAGAAAGTCTCTCTCAAAGGGAGCAAGAGATATCATCCTGCTACATACTCACAAAAGGATGGATTACACTCTTTTTTTTTTTTTTTTTTGAGACAGAGTTGCTCTGTCACTGGGGCTAGAGTGCAGTGGTGTCATCCTAGCTCACATCAACCTCAAACTCCTAGGCTCAAGCGATCCTCCTGCCTCAGCCTCCCAAGTAGCTGGGACCACAGGTGCATGCCACCACACTTGGCTAATTTTTTCTATTTTTAGTGGGGACGGGTCTCACATTGTTCAGGCTGGTCTCAAACTCCTGAGCTCAAGTGATCCTTCTGCCTCAGCCTCCCAGAATGCTAGGATTACAGGCATGAGCCACCGCGCCCAGCCTGGATTTTACTTTTATCTCAAGTCTCTCAAAGCAAGAATGCTGAGTTTTCAATACATTGTTTATTATAAGAACTGCCCTGTTTTCTATTTGGCCCCTTGAGTACAGTTATGCAAATTTGGACTAATGGGACTGAGGTCTGGCATCAACAATTAGGACTTAGCTTGCCACTCTTTTTTTTTTTAATTAAGATGAAATTCATGTAACAAAAAATTAACCATTTTAAAGTGAATAATTCAGTGGCATTTGGTATATTCACAATGTTGTATAACTATCACCTCTATTTATTTGCAAAAGACATTCATTTTTAAAATGGAACAATGATTCCACTCTTAGCACGTTTGATAACTTACCAACACAGAGGACAGCAAAACAATTACTAAAAATTTGTGATCACACTAGGCTTCTTACTGACCCTATGTTATACACACATACACCACACCACACACACATACACACACACACACACACACACACACACACTCTCTCTCTCTCTCTTTCTCTCTCTCTCTCTCTCTCTCTCTCTCTCTTTCTTGTGTCCATCAAAGTTATTTTAAATCTTGTGGCAGGAATTTTATTCTAAAAATAAGCTCCCTGTAGCTTCACAACATATTAACTTCAGAAAATAAATTATTCTGCTGATATCTTTGATATAAATCTTATAAAAGAATGTCTCACACTCCTTTTATACAGGTACCACCTCTTAACTTTAAAAAAAAAAAAAATTAAAAGCTAAAAGACTTCAACGTGCCATACCTTATTGGGATAGCTGGCGGCTTCCTTCCCAAATCAGCTTCAAAGAGGAAGCCTTCCACAGCAATAAATAAAAATTGTGCGAATGTCACGATGTTCCCACATCCTGGGTGCTTCCTGTATAGTGAATAACAAAAAGGGGGAAAAAAGGCACCAAAACTGAGATAGAGGGCACTAAAATGCGTTATTAGTTCCAGAACAACAGGGAGGGTAGATTTCTATTACCCACTGGCCTTTATTTTGGTTTTTATATCCCAAGGATCACACACATTTAGCGTTTATCTCATAGGGAAGAATGTCAGCTTTCTTACACTCTTTCCTAGGTGTAGCAGGCCATGAAGGACCGTTATTCTGCCACACTTGTTCCTAGAACTGTGCTACAGCTTTCCTAGTAAACTGCAGGAAATTGGTCATATGTTCTCATTGGGATCCTCACTTCACCAAAAGGCCTTTAGTCCGGATCCTAGTCAGTCAGCTGAGGTAGCAAAGTCCAAGGACAGAAATATGCTCGGGTCTCCTGCAATGTTTGTATATCCCTCCTGACCAGGAATCACCGAGACTGCTATCAAATGAAGAAATGTACCCAGTGTTGATGACAGGGACATTACTTTAGGTAGTAACCCAAGCGGGCAGAACTGATTCTTCAGATAGTGGGTAATCGTACTCTTTTTACAAGTATAAAGCACAGATATGCACAGTACATAAACCAGTATAGAACATACCTACGGAGGGGTGGTTAAGGAAAAAAAAATCTAGAAAGCATTCGGGGGAGGAGGTGGAGGCAATAATGAAAACAAGACTGAGAAACACTGCTATAGACTACTGGAATATATTAGGCACTCAAAAAAATGTGAGTGGAATTCAACGTCTTCAGTGATCTATGTACTTCTCGGGGAGTCTTCCATAGTGACTGTTAGGAACAAGTTTATATAATAGAAAAATTCCTTTTGACATCCCCCTTGAGGCATTCTGTGAAAATTAGTCGCTTAAAATGTTTATGATTTTCTTCAGCTTGTCCTCTATTCAGTTCTGCTCAATCACTGGAGGAAGAACAAAGTGACCAGTTATCTTTGTCCTCCCGAAGCTTCTAGATTTCATATACAACTTATATTCACCAGCCTTCATATTCTGGATTTTCATCTTTTAAAATATATTCTGCTTTCTATTTGGGGTGGATTTTCATCTTGACCAGAGTCATTCACCTGAAGCTAGTGCGTAGAGGGATTTGTTAGATTATTACTTATTAACATAATGGTATTTATCAAAAACAACTCCATTCTCCATTGGTGGTGTTAATATTGAACAGCTATGCCAAGATACACAAATTCTTAAATATACCTATCAGGCATAAAAATAGACAACCCCAGGCATAACCCATGCTTGTGCAGAGCTGGGCCTACTAGCTGAAGCAGAACTGTTGCTACTCTAAGCTCTGTTGCCTTTGAAGAGTTCCTTGAAAACTATTGCTTTACATTCAATTCAACAATTTCTCTTTTAGCATTTCGTATGTTCAAGGGACAAGGCTAAATGTTGCAGGAATCCATAAATAATCACATAAGACATTTATCTCATTCAAGGAGCTAATTAAAACCATTAGCCTAAATATGAGCAATAGGAGAAGGAAATTTAACTCTAGATGGTTGCTAGCACAGTGCCTTGCAACTCTGGCCAGGCTGCTCCTTAAAACCCGACATGCCTTTCTCCCACTTCTGACTTGATTAGATTGGGGGAGGGCTCTGGAATCTATACTCTTATAAAGCCTACCACTTGATGCTAATGTGTGGCCAGAGCTGAGAACCACCAGTCTAGGTCTGGGGAAAGGGCCAAGGGTGTGTGCGTGTGTGTGTGTGTGTGTGTGTGTGTGTGTGTATGTGTGTGTGCACACACACGTGTTTGTAAGATGCACAAATCCTCACGTGCTGACACAAGGTTGAGAACCACTGTGCTCTATCACGGTTAAAAGTATACACTGACATGTGACATCCAGCTCTGTCATTTACCATATGACAGGGGAAGGTAATTATCTAAGTCTAGTTTCTTATCTTTAAAATGGGATATTAGTGCCTATCTCATTGGTTTATTGTAGAGTAGAAGAACCAGTTCCTGAAAGTCTAGTTTCTTATCTTTAAAATGAGAACAGTATTAGTGCCTATCTCATTGGTTTATTGTAAAGTAGATGAGCCAGTCCCTGAAAAGCACTTAACACAGTGCCTGCCAAAGAGTGAAAAAGGCAAACAGAACCACGATGGCTAGTATTAGGACCTTGCATATTGAAAGCTCTTTAATCTAAGTATGGTCACCCTTTTAAAGACATTCACATTGACCAACTTTTCTCATCTATAAAAGGAAAATGATATATTATTGTTGCAGTGAGAACTCAATGAGAAAATACACGTGAAGTGCAAGATTTAACTTTGGGTTAAACACAAGACTTAACCAAAAAGAGGCTCAAAAGTTTTCTTGTTTTCCCTTCTATTTTTCTCTTTACTAAAAGCTTAGGCCAATTAAAGAATAATTACCAAGAACTGATTATGCATAAAGTTAGGTGGGAGCTTCAAGAGACCTCTTAAATGAGACCTGGTCCCTGCCCTCAAGAAGATGATGAGGGAACCAAACTTGAAAAATGAGATGGTAAAAATCCAGTGCCACAGCAGGGACAGTTGGAGGACAGACCGTGTCCCATTCATCTTTGTCTCTCCTCTTTTGGGGCAGTGTCAGGCCTTCACTCAAGTAAGTGAACGAATCAGAGGATGTTTTACTTTAAGCAAATGTGATCTAGAATGTTAAGATTTGTACAAAAGATACAAAGACGATTTATTTTAAAAAAATTCACTTTATATGTGTACTGTCCATAGGATTTTTTAAAAATGCATCCTAATACTTTTTAATTTTAACTTTATTTTATGGAGGTGGGTATTATGATGCCCATTTCATTGCTAAAGACACTGAGGGCCACATGGCACCAAGTTAAATAAATCTTCCAGAATTAGATGGCAAATAAATGTTGTTTGCAGATACCCTTATTATTATCGCAATTCAGTGGTTTTTGTGAGTTTTTAGTTGTGCAATTATCACCACTATCTAATTTTAGCACACTCCCAAAAGATATCCCATACTCATTGTAAGTCACTCCCCATTTCTCCTTTCTCCTAGTCCTCTGACAACTCTAATCTACTTTTTGTCTCTATTTCCATAGAATTTTAAAATCTCCCTAATGTACTCACATAATTTAATTTTTAAAAAAACAACTTGTAAAGCTTTTTAAGAATACATTGTTTATAGCTACCAATGGAATTATTTATTTTAGCTTGAATAATTCATTTTAAAACTTTAGAGTAAAAACTTAGATCCTTTAATCTCTTTTCTTGAACTTTATTCCTCAGAAATTCAATTGCTAACTGCAGTTTCTCTGACTTTGAATTCTCTTTGGCAAGAATTCAAAGTTTTATTTTCAAAAAATGCAACTGTGAAGAGATGGAATTGAGCAGATAGTTTATGCCTTTTGTATTTCTTTTGCTGAATTTAGGAAACTTCCTTATTTAATTCAAGATCAGGCACTTGGTTGAAAAATAAAATGTTTCAGACGTTTTCCTGATGTGAGATGTACAGTATCTTGCCTAGTTAGTTAGCTGATGTTAATATCTGATAATAGCTGCTGTTTATATCTCGTTTCCAAGGTATAAGCTCCCTAATGAGGGGGGTCAAGGCACTCATTCATTACTACTTGTCTGCACTGTCCACTGCATTGTGTTTTATATTTTATTATTGGTCCCAATTATAGGTATAAAAATCAGAAAGAAAAGCTAAATTTATTTTCCAATTTGGTAAAAATGATTAAAAATGTTCTCTTCTGCCCTCAAGTCACTTTAGCATTTATATTTAGTGTTCTACTTGCTACTTGTTAGGGCACTTAATGATTCCAAGGAAGTCATATAAAAAGCACAGTTCCTGCTCTATAAAAATTTATGAGCTTTCTACTATGATGTCCCAAGATAAAGTCACAAGTGCCAAGGCCATATCTAGAAAGAACTTTAAAGACCATCTGGTCCAACCAGCTCTTATTTTATTGATCTGTAACATGAGAAGTCATGACTTGCCTAAGCAAATTTGGAAAAGGCTGCTACTCAGTCTTGGGTACCATTGATTTTATTGATAAATGTACCTGTTTACCACTTTATGAAAACCCACTGTTTAATGCAAAAATGCAGATTTACAAAAAAAGATAAATAGGGAGTGATGATTATTTACAAATTATTCAAAGTATTCTAAATAGATGCTCCTGTAATGTACAACATCATTTTGTAAAGTTAGATTTATCCACAACTTTTCAGGAACATCTCATAAAACAAGATGTATCTATACTGAAATCAAGTTGTTAGAAAAGGAAGCCTCTATGAATGTGTTTTAGGCTTTATATATGCATCTCATTTCATTCTTCAAAACTCTGGGAGGCTAGTAGAACTATCATCCCCTTTTATAGTTGAGACAAACTAGGGGAGATGAAGTAATTTAGTCAAGGGCTTACAAACTAGTAATGAGGAGCTTCAGTTGCTTGCATATTCTGATGTCATACAGCCTTTGGCAAGATTTAATTTAATGGCATATTCAGCATGAATATTACACTGTTATTCTCTGACCTTCATTTACAAGGCTGGCCTGATATCACTTTTTTATATTTTTAAATCAGTTTCCAAAGTGTCCTTACTTTGAAGTGTATCAGACTTACAGTTGGATACAATTTTTATTTCATTTTCATATCTCTTACCACCTACTCCCGAGACAAACAACAGATCTTTATCAATACTTTCTGCATACTTAAGCTCTGTAACAGCAAAAGTTAACCCAACACAGAGTTTACCTTAAGTAAACCAGTTGCTTGAGAATGACTTAACTAATGGTACCAAATAACATACACTTGTAGTTGGCACCACATGACCAAAATCTATAGGCTGCTTAAGTTCAAAAATAAGGGGAAGGTTGAAAAAGGTATTGGACTAGGGGTTCAGACATCTTGGATTCCATTTCTGGCTCGGCCACTTAACAAGTAGTGAAAGGCCACTTAACTTCTTTGGATCTGTTTGATTTTTAGCAAAACAATGATTATAATTCTTGACCTATCTCATGCACAGAATTGTTCAGATGGTTAATGGAGATACAGGTTGAGCATCCCTAATCTGAAAATCCAAAATCCAAAAAGCTCCAAAATCCAAAATTTTTCAAGCACCAACATAACTCCACAAGTGAAATTCCACACCTGATAGCTTTGCTTTCTGATGGTTCAATGTACATAGACTGTGTTTCATGTACAAAGTAATTATTAAAAATATTGTATGAAATTACTTTCAGGCTACATGTATAAGTTGTATATGAAACATAAATGAATTTCATGTTTAGACTTGGGTCCCATCCCCAAAACTCATTATGCATATGCAAATATTCCAAAATCTTAAAAAACTCGAAATCTGAAGCATTTTTGGTCCTAATCATTTCGGATAAGGGATACTCAACCTGTAATGAATAGCCTCAGAAACATGGAGCTAGAAAGCACTACAGGTATTCTTTTACAGCTGGGAAAAGGAAGCCCAGAGAGGCTAAGTGACTTGAAAAGGCCACACAGCCAGTGGATGACAGAGTCATGATTGAAATTCGTTAACACTGAGCTTTTTAGTCCTGAGCCTTTTCCACTCCACCTGTTGTCTCTTCTGTAACAGCTTCTACCCATTGAATTTGTACATTCTTACTCAATATTATTGTAAGCTACTTACACAAAGCCAATCTAGTTTCCCTTTGGGAAAATGTCACAGCCATTTTTAATTTATAAAGTTATATTTCAAAATGCATGCTTCCGAATTTAAAGATTATAATATCTTAAAGCTGGAAATGATTTCTCGGGTCATTGGACCAATCTTCTACATAAGAATCTGTTCTACCACATCATTGACATGTATGTCTGGGCCAAGTCCTCATAACCATCTCTAAGGCCAATATAACAAATGCTTTGCAGGATACTTTAATACAAATGAAACTTTCTTTGCAGCATGTATAAAATCAGACTGCTTTATAAGCCAAAATGCTTTGCTCAAGCCAAGCATGTGCCATTAACAGGATCAAGAAAAGAGCCGGAGTTGTACAGGAAGGAAGTGAGACGTAGTTGGGTGGAGAAACCTTGCTTCTGTCACTAGCTCTCCTCCGACCTTGGACCAGTCACGTGAAAAATTCTCTTGGTTTCCGTTCCCTCAGACTGTGGAAAAGGGTGATGACAGCAACACCCTGAGTGCTCCCCTTATCGGGATACTGTGAAACTGTTAGGCGGGACGGCGGACGGTGCGCAGGATTACGGAGTAGCAGACTCAGCGGGATCCCAGGCTGCCCAGACCCAACGGGGGGCTCAGGAAGCCCTGCTCCGGGCCCTGCACGCAACAGACAGGGGACGAAGCGGGGGCGCGTCCCAGGGGACGGCGCGCGGGAGCACCTCTCCTCTGGCTTCCTCAGACCCGCCCAGGGAGCCAGCCCAGGTGCGGCCCGAACGGGTCACTCACCGAGCCAGGAGCTCTAGGAAGATCACGTTACTGCAGCAGCCTGCAAACACCAGGCCCACCGCGAAGGCCGGGCGCATGGCTGGAGCAGGGGAAGGGGAGCGAGCGCGCAGAGGAAGCGCCCGCCTATACCGCTACCCCAGGAAGCCGGCCAGCTGCCCCCGCCGCGGCACAGAACATCGCACGGTCCCGGAGCGCCGCTCTCTCCGGGGACCGCCGCAGTCTCCCCTTCCCCCGCGGCCGCCACCGACGCTGCCAGCTGAGGAGCTGTAGTTCGCAATCAGCCCCGGCCCCATTCATCCGAGGGGGCGTCCAAGTCCCGGCCAGACTACACGTCCCAGGATGCCGCGCGCCCTTACGTCGGGCGGTGTCGTGGACCCGCCTCTGCCAGGAACCTCCGCCAAAGAGGAGAGGGGCCAAGTGCCCGGCATGCCTCGCGTGATCAGAGGCCGCGGGGCGTGCTGGGAAACGAAGTCCCAACGCTGTCAATGCTTCTTAGGAGACCGCCAAGAGCTCAGAAAGGGGTTAGTCCACCACGGCCACAGCAAACTCGCAGCTGGCGGCACTAGAACTACAGACCTGTGACTATGCCTTGGAGGTGGTGTTGTAGCATCTGAAGCGATTCTCCTGAACTGAGTGAAAGGAGAAATTCTGAGCTTACCTCTCTACCTCTAGAAAAGAATAGGGGACTCGGAAGTTTGGAGGTTGAATCCCGGCTTATCAGCGCCGCTATCTCAGGCAACTTCTCCAAGCCTCAGTCTCACCGTAGGTAAAGTTGGGAACAGTAACGCCTATCTCTCCAGGGTGTTGGGAGAATTAAAAGATATGGTCAATGAAAAGCCTAACATAGTAAATTTATTGCTTTACGTTATTATTATTGGTGAGGCACCCAGCACTCTTTGACTCTGTGAGCAACTCTAGGGTAAGGACTTTGTTTCATTCATTTTGTAATGTGCCAGCACTGCGTTCGTTCAAGGTGGGAGCTCATTAAATATTGAATTTAACTGGTAGTAGGCCTTCTATTCGTGTTAGTTCTTGTTCCTACTCACCTTTTTAAGGCAGCGGTTTTCACAGTCTAGAATGCATTAGACTTACCTGGGGTACTTGTTAAAATTGAAAGTTTCTGCCTGTAATCTCTGCTACTTGGGAGACCGAGGCTCCTGCTTGAGCCCAGGAGTTTGAGATCAGCCTGGGCAATATAGCAAGATGCTGTTTCTTAAAAACAAACAAACAAACAAGTTTTTAGAACCCATACACAAGGATTCTGATTTGGTAGTTTGAAGTGAGACCCAGTAATCTGCACTTATAACAAAAACTCAGATGATTCTGATGTGGTCTCCAGGCCACAAATTGGGAAAAACCATTTTGAAATATGTTGTGGATCTTGAGAAAGACTTCAAACTGTTCATGTCTCACAGGAAATAGCAAAAACCCTATATATTTTATATATATATAAACTTCTAAATAGCAAAAACCCTATTCTATATATTAAATAAAATTCCAAAAACCCATGTACTTTGCTATTGCTGTTGGATTCAATTACAACTTAAATGTATGATGTAGTAAAATACTGAGCAGTAGTGCTAACATTTTATACTTGGCATTGGGAAACAGAAATGAGGTGTAAATATGTTTTTTCCATTAAAAAACCATCTTGGCCCAGCACAGTGGCTCACACCTGTAACACTAGCACTCTGGGAGGCCAAAGCTAGAGGATCGCTTGAGCTCAGGAGTTCAAGACTAGCCTGAGCCCTGAGCAAGAGTGAGACACTGTCTCTACTAAAAATAGAAAAAAAAAAAAATTAGCTGGGCGTGGTGGTGCACACCTGTTGTCCCAGCAACTACTCCGGCAGGCTGAGGCAGGAGGATCGCTTGAGCCCAAGAGTTTGAGGTTGCTGTGAGCTAGGCTGATGCCATGGCACTCTAGCCTGGGCAACAGAGTGAGACTCTGTCTCAAAAAAAAAGAAAAAAGAAAACAACAACAACAACAAAATAACAAAAAACAGTCTTGCTGGGTGGACAAGGCATGCATACATATTTTACAAATAAATAACAGTGCAGCTCTATCCTGTGTACACAATATGTGCTTAACAAACATTTGCTGACTGAGTGAATAAGAGTTACATTGATCCTAGCACTCTGGGAGGCCGAGGCAGGCGGATTGTTTGAGCTCAGGAGTTCGAAACCAGCCTGAGCAAGAGCGAGACCCAGTGTCTACTAAAAATAGAAAGAAATTAATCGGACAACTAAAAATATATAGAAAAAATTAGCCGGGCATGGTGGCACATGCCTGTAGTCCCAGCTACTTGGGAGGCTGAGGCAGAAGGATCACTTGAGCCCAGGAGTTTGAGGTTGCTGTGAGCTAGGCTGACACCATGGCACTCACTCTAGCCCAGGCAACAAAAGTGAGACTCTGTCTCAAAAAAAAAAAAAAAAAAAAAAGAGTTGCATTGAATGGCTCAAATTGTAAATGCTGTGAGAATTCAATTGGAAGAAGAGGGAAATGTGCCTTCTTTTCACCATTAAAGATCTGATTGCTGATATAGGCATTTTTGACACCAGTGCCTGGACATTGGTAGTTTTCAAAGCTCCCTAGGTGATTTGATTGTGCGATTAAGGTTGAGAACCATTGAAGTGAAGGAAGGAAATATCCTAAAGGACTGGGATTAGGGACAGTATCAATAGGTCACCTTTAAGGCTGCACCTCAGCCCAATTAAATCAGAATTGCTGGGAGTGAGACTTGGGTATCAGTCGTCTTTAAAATGATTCCAATGTACAGGCAAGGTTGAGCCCACTGCTTTACTTTAACTCTCAGTGGTTCTCAAACATGGTTGCATAACAGAGTCACACAGAAACTTTTTTTTAAAGCACCAGTCCCTCTTCAGACCAAGTAAAGCAGGCTGTCTGAGAGTGAGGCTCAAGCAATGACAATATCTCCACCTCCACTGCAGGTAATTCTGCTAAGAGAAAAGCTGAGCACAGCACCTTTTCCTCTGGGTTTCACTAGAGGTAATTTGTCATCAGGTAGACCTTCATTTTCCATATACCCCCAAAATTTGGAAGCACTTAAAGGATGTTCTAAACATCTCCTATTATATCTCAGATAAAAACCAAAGCATGCCAAAGTGGCTGAACAAAAAAATGGCCCAAGTAATGTCTGCATGTGTTCTGTATCTTCATTCCTTCCTCCATATTTCAGTCTTGATCTGCCGTGGTGCATATTAATTTAACGTGCGTATTCATCACCTGGGGATCTTGTTAAAATGCAGATTCTGAGTCACTAGGCCTGCAGTGTGACCTGAGATTCTGCATTTCTAACAAGCTCCTAGTAATGCTGATGCTACTGATCTGTGGACCATACTTGAAGAACAGAAGCCAGTAAAATAATTGGCTCTGGAGACCTCTTTCTCCTTCCCCTGTCATTGGCTCAGGGAATTCCTGCTGGCAAACCTGTCCTTAGCCTATAATCATACTCAAAGAAACTAACTTATCTTTCTTCTTCCTTCATTTTACCACCAAATATCTTTAAAGAGTAATCTATATTCATAGTTTCTGCTTTTTAAACCTCCAATCAGTTTTTTAAACTACTCTGATCAAAGCCAGATTATTAAAAATAGTCTCATTCACAGCCTTAAATACTCTTTGTTGTTGTTGTTGTGGTTTGTTTTTGAGACTAGGTCTTGCTCTGTTGTCCAGGAATACTTCTTAATTGTCAAAACCATATGCCACAGTCTCACCTTACTTGATCTGGCAGTGACTTTTGACAACGAAAGCCCCACACTTATTGACATTCTCTTGTCCCTCTGTTTCTAAGACATGAGGCTCCTGTTTCTCTTTCAACTTCTCTTACTTAACCCTTTTCAGTTTCCTTTGTGGGCCTTTCCTGCTCTAATCACTGAGTTCTCCTTTCAAAGTTATATCATTTGTTCCCTCCTCTTATTGCCCTGAACACTTTCTCTTGGTGATTTCAACCCTGGAACTTCCACCGTCACCATATGGAACTGTGATCCTATGTGCATGCATGTTGTGTATGTGTGTGTGTGTGTGTGTGTGCACGTGTGTGTATAGCCCCAATCTCCCTCATGTCCTAAATCAAAGTTTCCAATTGCTTTGGAATCCTCACCAAATTTCCTGTAAACCCTTCCACATCAGTGCATACACATTTCATTATCTACCCTCCATCAGAGGCCTTTATTTCTATTAAGGACATTGTCCACCACCTCTTCTCTTTGGGCAAAAATACCTGAAAGATTTCAGTCTTCCCGTCCTTCCCACCACACATTTATTTGCTCTTTATATCCTGTCAATTCAGCCTCACAAGCGTCTCTAGATTCCAGTCTCTCCTTTCCATTCCCGTTGACGTCTAGTTGTGCTCCTGTAAAGGCCTCCTGACATCTTGGTACCTTCAGCCTCTGCCTTCTTCAACCCATTGTCCATGTCGCCTCCAATCGTTCCTCCAAAATCTTCTTCCCTCTGCTATTTTAAGATGTCTGTTCCAATTATCTAGTAAGGCGTAATAAACCACCTTAAAATGTAGTAATTCAAAGCCAGAAACAAAACAAAAACAAAACACCATTTTTCTTACTCACAGTTCTGTATGTTGTGAGAACACACAGCTAGTCTGTTCTCTGTTGGGGTTTCTCATGCAGTTGAGATCACATGTTGGCTGGGGCTGTAGTTATCAGAAGGCTTGACTGGATTGATAGCTGAGATGGCAAGAACAGCTGTCTTCACATGGTCTCTCTTGTGCTGTGCTTCCCACAACATGGCGGATTCAGGATAGTTGGAATTCTTAGAAGGTGACTGTCTTCCCCTAGAGCGAGCATTCCAAGAGATGAAGGCAGAAACTGCAGTGGCCTCAGAAGTCACACAGTGCCACTTGCACCACACTCTATTGGTTCCACAGGACCAACTCTGATTCACTGTGGGAGGGGACTAACAAAGGCATCAGCTGTGTGTTGGAGGGGCATCCTTGAAGACTAGCTATACAATGTTCCTTGGCTCTTTGTTATATAAAATTCACACTCGGTAGGAGGCACACAAACATCACAATCAAGCCTCAGTTTACCTCTTTAGTTTCATCTCTTGCCATGCTCCCCATTGCTACCTGAACTCCAGCCACGTAACACTCTGTTCTCTGAGTTTCCAGTGACTTTCGAAATTCATATCTGTGCACATGCTGTTCTGTCTGCTTGGAACACCCTTTCTCTTCTCTTTCTCTTTAGCCAACTCCTATCTACT